TGGATGGATGGATGGATGGATGGGTAGGTAGGTAGGTGGATGGATGGGTAGGTAGGTGGATGGATGGATGGATGGATGGATGGGTGGGTGGGTAGGTAGATAGATAGATAGATAGATAGATAGATAGATAGATAGATAGATAGATAGATAGATAGATAGATAGATAGATAGATAGATACCACAAGGCCTGCTAGCCTACTATTGCAGGGCTAATAAGAATAAGATTTTTTTTTCAGTGAAATATTTTATTTGATCATTTTAGTTACTTGACAAAAAATGAAGATATAGAAAGTTTTAGACTGATCTAACAATCTTAGCATGTAAAAACTACATGTCATGTACACTACAGACCCAGACCTGTCATAAATCCCCGTGTTTTTTTACCTCGGGAACTACATCTCCCAGAATGCAATGTGACGTTGCGTCACAACACCTGCCTGACGTCAGTAGCCGGAGTTCCGCGTGTTCGGATGTGTTGTTAATATCGTACGTGGATGTGGAATATGATGGAAAGTCGAGGAGTTTCATCGATTATATTTGACTTGGATAACACGCTGGTCGATACAGCCGGCGCAGGACGAATTGCCATTGAGAAGGTAACCGAAAGAATAAGAAAAATGCTTAAACGAACATTTCAAAGAACTGTGGACATTACCGTGGTATTAACGTTACCTTAGTTTTAGCGGCACGTATGGTATTACGTTATTTGACAAACTTTGAAGCATATATGGAAGTACACTGAAAGTACCATAGTATTACCATGGTTTTTGGACACATGCCATGATATTATTGGACGTAAAGAATGCATCAAAGTACCTTCATTTTACTATGGTTTTTCGACACATAATGGTAATGCCATGGTATTATCTCTGAAATATCAAAGTACCGTGCTATTACCATGTTTTTTGTACACATGCCGTGGTACTTTTACAAACTTTCAAGTGTATATAAAAGTATCATGGTATTACCATGATTTTTGGACACATGCCTGATAAGATTTTTTTTTTACAACATATAACGCAGATAAAATGCTTGAAATGGTGTAATTACTTAGTTTGTCCAGCAGAGCGCGCTCCATTGTTTGCTACTGGCAAACTTTACTTTACTGTTCATGCACTGATATCAGACTCATTTTGGTAATAAAGTTTATTGCGTTACCTTGTTTTCTTAATTCAAGTTTACATATCTTTGTCACATCATTATAAGTGTTTGATCACCACAT